CGGATTAATGAAGGTAATAACGTCGGCATCACCGGGTAGAATTCGGCAAGATCTAAGTTTTGGGACGGTTGAATACTCGACTGTTCCTCCATTATTGCTGCCAGTCACAGCCTCATGCATCATGTTCATTGACAACCAATGCTACCTGTACGTAACGCATTAACCGAGTGCGCTAAGATTCTCCGTATTCCTGCCAAATGTTTTAATATAATAATGTTTTTAAGTATACAAAATATTCTATGCACTATGACTTTTCTCTCTTCATAGATCGGGCTTCATTACACGCCGCAAGCTGCGAGGAACTTGAATTTGTCTTCCCTTCTTCAAGTAACAGGTTTTAATCTTTACAGCTTCCCTCTAGGCAGTTAACCCGTCGTCTCCGCTTAGTAATTCCGACTCATCCTTTTATCTAGTGAAATATATTCGATTGCCTTAAACTAACTCACACTAATACGGTTAAGTTTTTTATTATTGACATTTAATGCGTGGCTCTCGACCGTTTTGTCCTAGCTCGAGCCAGTATCGCTATGTAAACCCCTATAATTCACATAAGTTTATACGGAAAGGCTACTGTTCAACTGGAGACCAAGGCACCTCAGTTCCGAGCCCGCGTTCGCAGACTTATTTTGGTCCACTCATGTCACATACATCGTTCGTATTGCGACCAAGTCTTTTTTCCTATCGAAAGCCCACTACTTCCGGTAGTGGGACCAAGATGAATGAACAGCTGTCCAATCCCCCTACTACTCTTGTTAAGACTAGGTTTAAAATCTACCGGAAGGTCACTAAGACCTCTCCAAACCCTAATTCGAGTTATCGATTTGCTGGCAGTGTGGTGTCTAAGTACAAACCCCAGCGAATACATCAAAATAAGCTTTCACCAAAGCGTTCCCCCGGCCATATCACTTGTCACAGCCCTCCAAAAACACCCTACAAGTGCGTTATCCTTCTCACCGCTTACCATTTTGCAGGCTAATTGTTAAAAAAGCTATCCAAACCCTACGGTACAGAAGGCAGCCCGTGTGTCTGCATTTCATCAGGACTGGAACATGTCGCAATAACGACTCTTGCCGTTTTTCTCACGCAGCAGATCATGTAAAAATATGTCCGAAGTGAGTTTTACATAAATTCTATGTTGCTCTCTTGCCTGTCAGCACTTTTAAGTTTAATTTTCGGTTTAAGTGTCTCATAGGCCTACCTTGTTTCGGTTTCACAAACCCTGCGACAGTTATTGTATTGTGTATTTGCTTAGTTGACTAGTGTCAGGAGTAACCAGGCTTATTGCATCAGTTCCCGCCAGTAATAACCGAAGCCGTCTACGTTTTCAGTTTAGGACGCCGTTGCAATCGCATAGCAACAAATAACATACAGAGAGGGAGTACTAATAAATACAAGGGCGTCGTCAGGCCACTGTACCCAACCCCAGGTTTGCGACATCCTGGATTTGGACCGAGGACCTTTGGTTATTAGGTATGGTTGACTGACGACGGCTAATAGGCCGGAAATGGTTGCCCCAGTTCCCGTTCTTTGTATCGGTATTCTCGCCTGTATTACAGCTGGTCGCGTTGCGACTGGCCTGCAAGGGCTCTAGATTGAGCCTCAAAATGCAACGGGATGAGCATGTCTCGTAACCTGATCGGTAAACATCCGTCCTACGGTACTGAATATTCCCGATCGCAACCAACAAGACAACGGGCTCGCAGCCCAGTGGTAGAGCGTTTGACACTGAACGTCGTAAACCAGCCATACCCAACCCCGAGGTGTGCAACACCTGGGGCCTGATCCCGTGACCTCCTGGTTGGAAGTCCAACGCCCCAACCACTGTGCTACGGACCCATTGTCCTGGCGGTTGCGATCGCAACCTGAGATGGCCATTGCAGTCTTCCTGGTCTTTGTCGGTAATGCTATTCTGCTCATATCACGTGCCGCTTTGCAGTTGCTGGCGGGACCCGAGAGAGGGAAAGAAAGAGCCCCAAGGCACAACGGGACTAGTGAGTTTCGCAGCGCGATCAGTGAGCGACAAGCAATATACACAAGAAGGGAGTATTGACAAAGACAATGGAGTCTTGAGTGGTCATTTCCGGCTTTCTAGTCTTCGCTAATCAACAACATCCAAATACAAAGGTGGGGATAAATTGATAGAGCATTGTTTCATACCTATCCTGCCTTTAATCAGCCAATCCTAGACACAGCCACACAAACATACACTTGCACACGACGCAAATGGTCCGCGAACGGGACCTATCGTATAGGTATCAAGTACTTCAACGCCACCGGGCATTCTCTGTCACTAAAGACCGGGTATTTATTAGCACAGAAATAAGCGCGCGCTGATACGTTGGCCTTCCGAAGTAAACAAACTTCCAATGGGTGGCAGGTTACGAGTGATCAACCAACTGTCGGTATATGATGTCAGGAATACTCAGCTTCCCCAGCAAATTTCAAAAAGCTCCAGCATAGTTTGACTGGGTGAAGTAAGAAACTGGACTGAACCAAAAATAGTGGATCTCACGTGTCTTCTTGCAGCCCCTTTACAGAAAAATACAAGGGCGCCTAGGGGATAGCTTAATAAGGCTGAAGACGCGACGGACACTAACTCAATTAACGACAGAAGTTTTATGGACAAATCAATGCAGCTAGGTTGAGAACCCAGAACGGTATGTCGAGGTGCAATGGCCGAACCTCGAAGATTCCTAAATCGAATGTCAGTAGGCGGAGTTGGTTTGACATACTTTACTGGTCCGAAGGAGCGTACAGGAAGCTCAATAGGCATCTACAGCAAGCTTTCTCCACAGTCGAATGACAGCCGTTGACGTTGTTGACCCCCGGACGCGAAATGTATGCTCGCTCCCGAGGTTCTTCCGCCTGCTGCCAATCAACAAGTGATGTGGCGTCGATTGGCCCGGAGCTCTCGCAGCGTTGGGGCCGAGTTACGCGCGGCCCAGCCAATCGATTGACAGAGGAAGCGTTAGGCCGACTGATGATGGCGTGAGTGGGCAGCAGCGCCGGCGATCGCGGACACAGACAGATAATCCATTCATGCCATTACGCCGTCCGAATCTTGCGGAAGTACAGTTTGCTTCCAGAAAACTGCTGTAGCAAACCCATTGTTATAGGGCGCGAGGAAGTTGCGTTGAACGTTCTGTTCTAGTGAAAAAATTAAGCGGAATGTTGGTGAACTTTCGCACCGGGATAGGCTGTTGATTCCCCCTTAATTTAGGAACGCCAATATCGAAAATCTTACAACTGTAATTTTTGCCTTATGACCGAACTGGGCTGCGCTTTGACCGTCTTACTATGGGGTGTTGTTTGCTTGTACTTTCCGTTAATTGTGATTTTTTGTATATTCAGATTTCTATCACATACATGCCGCTTGGGAGAGGCCAAATGTCCCCTGGCACATGTTTTGGACCCATGTAGAATCCCACAGTGCGACTTCTTTGCTAAGGGGGATTGCAAACGCGAGTCCTGCCCTTATTTACATGTAAAGTACGCGGAAGACACCGTATCTTGTCCCAGCTTTTTGAACGGACGCTGCGAACTTGCCCAAAAGGTATTCCCGCTCCTCTCGGAGCTCATTTTCCAGATTAGTTCTTGTGAATCATCAAGTGCACTGACTCCGGCGCTTGCGTTTCGTTTCCTGCTCATCTAACCTTGTAATAATTTTCACCCGATTTTATGTAGTCGGTTTGAGTACCTGGGCTTTCGATATGCCCCGTTTCTTAGAGGCCTTGTCGTCAGCGGCGTTGCCACGTAGCTTTTGTGCCTTGACTTCTTCCCTTTCTCCGTCCGGACCCTAAACTTCGAAGAAGCATTAGGCCACCTCGTCCGCAATGCCAAAACTTTTGGCTACTTTTGAATACAATGAAAGTCCTGACTGGACTATTTTGGCGCACCTCTTCTGGTCTTTGCTTGAAGTACTATTTTTCGATTGGCTTTTGTCTTCCCGTTTTCCATAGTATTGTGAAAGCTTACATGAATGCGCTGTCGACTTTATTCTTGGCGTATGTATAAGGATCGTAGCCCTTAGCTGAGTTGGTTAGTTTTATAGTTTTTCTTGATAATGTTCCTTAATCCCCACCTGGTCTCCTGCAACTTCTTCAGTCCTCTTTCCGTGACAGAGTTAGAACTGGATATTTTGCATCTCCTTGTCCTTTTCCAGAAGGGTTAAAAGTGTTAAAGTAGGAGAGCGCTCACAAAGCACTACTCTATGCATAATCTAGATACAACATTACTAAACTACTAAGACCTTTGCAGTGAATGGTTTTGTCAGGTCTTGGGCTACTTCATAAAACCTGATAATAACCACTTATGCAGTCGTAGATGGCCTTTCGATTAACCGAAATATACCCCCACTAGTTGTGTGATCTTTATGGCACTCCCATTCAGCTGAGGTCCGAGCTGCCCCCATTTTCTTGTTATGTGAAATACTGGTTGTTATATGATCACCCAACAAGGCAAGACAGATTTCAACTATCAGAAGGGCCACCGAACGTTCCATTTCGTTGCCTAAAAACTCGTTCGCCCGTCTGTGGTACGATTGTACTACTGCTAATTACCCTAATAATCTCGGCTAAACCGACCGCTGTCTCTAGCTCAATTGCAGCAGCAGGTTGCACTTGTGCCCCGCAGTGTGTCATCACGAAACATCTGTATATTTAATAGTAGTGAAAATGCGATTCCCGGGTGGCATATCAAAGGAAGAGGAGGCGTTCACCGGGAGAGGTGTATTTAAGGTTTGACGTTTCGGGTAGTCGTTTCTTCTACCCATCTTCAGAGACTGAGCAGTCGTGCACACAGCTTTCCTTTTATGGCGCACTTTGTTCAATGCCTGGCCCACCCATGCCGTCTGTGTGGCTGCATCCGACCCGCATGTCACCGTGACCTGAATCCCGCCCATCTTCGTCGGCCGCGGTGATAATTGGCGGCCCCGATTGTCCCCCACCGTGACTGTCCCCCGTCAAGAATGTCCGTAAAACCAGATAAGGGGGAGGTGAATTTATGTGGCGGTTGACAGAACAGTCGGTAGACATCCAGGCTTCTTGCACCTGCCTTGCCGTATGATCATCACCTCGGCCTACAATTTCAACGGCGTCAAAGTTGAAGACGTGCCCCATTTGGGCGGCATGGGTTGCTACCTCCGACTTTGGTTCCAACCTTCGCACGGCCAACCTATGCTCGTGCATGCGCGTTTGCAGCCGTCGGCCGGTTTCCCCAACGTAGTTACACATTCCGCAGCTGCACTGAAGTCGGTAGACAACGGCCGACATCTCCTTTTTAGGGATCGGGTCTTTTGGCCGCATCACTTGCCGGCGGATTGTTGAGTTGGGCCTGTGGGCAACGCCTATTCCGAGCGGCGCGAGGGATCTGGCTACGGCTTCGGAGACCCCTTTCATGTATGGAATGCTCCGCCACGATTTTGGCTGAATAGGTTCTTCATTCCGCTTCCTTGGTTGCTTTCGGCCCCGTTAAACAAATGTTCGCGGATAGCCGTTGGCTCTGAAGAGTTCTTGGAGTTTGGCGACTGGAGTGCTGCAATGAGTTCCCACCCGTCGGTATAGCGTGCGTACACAGCTTCGTTTGTGTTGCAGTGGGCGGTTGCTGTTGTAACTGAGCATTTGCAGCGTGTTCGTCGGTTTTCTGTAGACTGACGTCGCCAGTTTACCGTCTGGTTGGCGGCAGATGAGAACATCCAAAAATGAAAGTTTGCTCTCCACTTCTTCTTCCATCGTGAACTGTAGGTCGGGGATGATTGAGTTCAATAGTTCTTCATAGTAGTTAATTTTATCCTGATCGATGATTACGAAGGTATCATCAACGTAGCGCGCCCAAAACTTGGACTTGTATTCTCCGAACAGTCGTTTCTCGAGTTTTTGCAGAACGGCCTCGGCAATGAGTCCGGAGATTGGTGAACCCATCGGAGTGCCCTTAATTTGCTCATAGGTGATCCCCTCGAAGGTAAAAAATGTCTTGATGCAGTGCCCCATGAGTTCTATGATATCCTGAGCTGTGGGCTGGCCATCGCCCTCGTCGTAATTCTGACGAAGCAGGTCACTGAGCCTCTCGACCGCAGCCACACAGGCGGCATGGGTGGGCCAGGCATTGATCAAAGTGCGCCATAAAAGGAAAGCTGTGTGCACGACTGCTCAGTCTCTGAAGATGGGTAGAAGAAACGACTACCCGAAACGTCAGACCTCAAATACACCTCTCCCGGTGAACGCCTCCTCTTCCTTTGATCTGCATATTTATTTAGGCAGTAGTCTTAGTATACTCAAAAACGGATTTCTAGTATGCCAGTACCGCGTTCACAACCGAAAGTCTGCCATTAACTTGCTGAGTGGCAAGATGCTCTTATTTGGTCTTTGTCTCTTGAGTCTTTTTAGCCATTAAACCCACGCCGGAGTTATTTCAAAGATTCGTTTAAAATATTTTTGCCTGTTAGCTAGACCTCATACCTGTCTCGTGCAGAATGCGTCCACCGCCTTTTTGCCCTACTGACATCCCTTCTGTAACTTCTAGTGTACGAAACGCCATGTTTGGCCTGCCGTTCCACGAAGGAAGCCCAAAAGTCGAGGGCCAGCGGATCACCGTGAGAAGGCTCAGACGAGCGTCTCTGCGGTGGTTGCCACTCGTCTGTCTAGTCCGCTTGAAAAAGCCCCTGAGGGTTCCCTTAGAGACGTTTTTCCTGCACCAAGCTTCATTCCTTTTGAAGTCTTGGACACGCCATAACTCTTTTCTCCTGTTGTGTTTGTAAATTCTCCCCCCCCACGCCACCCCTCAGCAGATAATTCATTACATCCGTCAGTTTTATTTTTCTTATATCTCGCTACTCCGTTTTGTGCATGTTGACCACTATAGGGTTGGGTGCAGTTGTAACGTTGGACTTCGGGCTAGACCGATGCTAAATTTGTGAAGCGTCGTGGCTGAATTACGGCACTTTTGGACGTTGGATGGAAACCTCAGAAGCAGCTGGTCTTGACTCCGTGCCTCCGATCATTCGTGGTCTTCAAGGGGCAACCATGGTCGAATCCCTCTGTCCTTTGCTCTGCAGAGGAAAGTCTAGTAAACAAGTTGATTCGAGGTGGAAAATTCGAACGGGTGCGATGCCTACGGCATCTATTTTAATAAGTTCCTCGCACAGGTAGACAAGAGGACACACAGCCGTTTAGCGATTATTATTGGCAATCATCACACCCCGTCCTTTTCTGTCGTAAATCCTCAGCCCCATTGCTAGCTTGCGACTGTACAAAGCAAATGAGTGCTTGAGTTTATTCGATTTTACTTGGGGCCAACCCAATTGTTGTTGCTTCGGCGGACAAAATAGTCTTTTCTGCTTCGGACCAAAAGAATCAGTCTTTCGGGGAGAAATCCGACTGGGTACCGATCGGGAATTGTTGCGTTGTCGAAGGCACAACAACATATGCAGCAGAGACATCCAGGAGCTCTCGCATGGTCTTATAATACCCAGTTGCAGCATTGCCCAAATTTCTCATTCGCCGGCGCCACCCGTCTGGTCCAAGCGAACACAAGAGGGCCTGAGATGCGGATGTGATGCAAAACATCATGTTTTTCCTCGCCGCTGCGAAATCGATGGTGATATTCGGGGGTTGGAGGAAGAGCTCCCGACGAGCGCAAACCATACCTGTATCCAGGAAATATAGGTTGCAGGAGATTGTAGGCGAGCCGTCTGCGAGCAGATAGAACAGTCGTGCAGTCAGGAACGCCGGCAGTTTACAAGGAGATGGAACTCGGCTAGGGAGCCCGTGTCAAGGATTACATGGCAGACATCTGCAGTCACGGCGACCCAGAAAAATAAACGAAGACCGATGTTCAGGGCGAGAAACAAGGGTTCAGAAGGGGTTGCGATGGTCGATAACTCAAGGACCTAAATCAGAAAGCAGGGGAGACGGTTGAATGAACAAACTTTTCTGCGGCGTTTGAGCGTAAAGGCAGCTCGGCAAACAGTTGCAACCAGCGTTCTCACCAGGCAGGTGTGCTTAGCCCTGAGGTTGTTGAGCTCCGGCGCCGAACGCGCATGCCTTTGAGCTGTGTCCGCCTACAGCCAATTGTCGAAGGACCCAATGCTGATTGGTCCTCAGCTATCGCTGGCTAGTACCAAGTCGTAAGCGGCTCCAGCAGCGAATGGACCGAGAGCGTGAAGCGGACAGAAAGATAGCATGAGTAAGTAGTCCCGCCGGCCACCACGGGGCAAACGGCCGTAAGGTGTATTTGGGACAATTTACACCAGCTTTGGAGTAGCACTTCTAACATACACAAGGACATTAACTACTATTCCGAGAGCACAGGTACCAACAAACAGCCGAGACATTGTTTCAGCAATTTTTCTGCAGCCTGTGGGCATCATATACAATGCTGATCCCAGGCTGCTCCAGACACCTGTATATTGTTCCACTTGGCATGACAGTTTGAATGTCGGCTTCGACGACGTCCGCCGTGTGCTCCGGAGCAGGTTGTGAGCAGGGACGGCGACTTGTGCGCAATGTCATTTATGCTGACAGTAGGTCTACAGTATCTGCCGCACTCTCCTCTCTCACCTGAGATCGGTGCCAAAACATAAGCAAGGCCTGAGGTGGTATAGGGCGCAGGTGGCGGGCGCGGCCGGAGCCGCCCCTAGGCGTGCCGTCACACTCGACTTGGATCCCACGGAGCGGGAGTGCCATAGAGGCCACACTAAGAGGTAATTGCAGCCACACTTTCAGCCCACCATTCGGACACTCCAAAAAAAGCTAGGCCGATTGCGAGGTCCGAGTTATCATGTCGGTTAGCAACCTTCCAAACCACGGCTTTTAGCGCACCGTGATATCTTCAAGCGCGTCAGACTGTTTATAGCGAAGGAAATGCGTACAGTCGTCCTTACTCTCTATTTCCACTTCCAGGCCCCAGCCATTGTCCTAACCGGTCAGTGTTCTGGCGCGGGGAACGGGCGCAGTGGCTGACATGTAGTGACCTCGTCTACGTGTATCACATACACGACTTTGCCCCCTAGACACGCACCAAAAGGGGATGGGCGGCATATATCTCACGTACGTGGGACTGCCAGAGGTCAAGTTGACAAAGAGCCGTTGCAGCCTGTCCCTTAGTCCACTAGTCCGCCACTCCCCACGAACACAAGGCAGGGCTGCCTGCGTGGAGTGGGTTGAAGCGTCAGCTTGCAACCTTCCAAACCACCACGCTTAGCTCACCGTGATAGTCTCAGGCTCGGGTCACACATGCTGCAGAGTAGCCACATGGAGAAGGAGCCGAGACGCACACTTCCTACTTACGTGAGAGGTGCCAATAACGTGCTTGCGTTGTATGGTGATGCGTGATGTTGGCGTGCGTTGTAGATGCTGGTGAGAAAAGATGTGGTGGTATGGTTTAGTCGGCGGTGTTCTACCGCACGTCTTTGTGAATGCGCATCTGACCGAGTAGGCTTAAGGGGGGACAGAGTGTACGAAGGCGATGCCGGCAGATGAGGCGGTGGCGTCTGGTGTATGTTGGCACTCCAAGCACTGGTTCGCCGGTCTCCGTGCGATGGATTCGCAAGGACCGACCATGTCGATGTGGAAGGTGAATGTCCGGTGACCGTGTGGGCAGAATGGGCCAGGAGCTGTAGAGTCGGTTTCGGCGGTGGTGCCGCTAGTGTTGGACGCACCGAGTGATGGGGAGTTGATCGGGCTGGCCATGGAAACGTTGGTGGATTTGTGAGATGTGCTAGTTGTGTCGATACTGCGGTGGATTCCTCTGCCACGGTTACGCATATGATCGAATAGGGTCATGCGGTGAATGAATGTGCGTGGACAGTGAGGGCGGGTGCGGCAAGTGTATGTTGGTACTCCAGGCACTGGTTAGGCAGTCTCTGCGATGGATTCGCAAATGACCGACCAGGCCGATAAGTAAGGTGGGTGTGTGGTCGCAATTAGAACAGGTTGGGACCAAGTTCACATCGCTAGAGGGTTGGGTCGTGATGGTAAATATGTTGATGGCTGACAGGACGTCAGGAGATTTTCGGTCGGTGGTGGTGTTGGTAAACGGAGTTATGCTCGTCGTCACTGCGGCGATTGCGGCAGAGATTATGGGTGTGACAGCGATCGACTGCGGTGGGGCACTGGAATTCGAAACAGGGGTGGTGAAGGTGAGCGCCGTCGTGGTCTGCGCAGATTTTGGAGCAGGCGCAGCTACGGAGGCATCACTTGGTACATTAAGTACGACGAGGCCGATCCGCGCATGGAGAGTTTGTTGAGAGCACGGGCTTGTTGGGTAGGGTTGGGTGAAGATGATGCGGATTAAGGGCGTCTGAAACTTGCGAAATTCTCCCTTAGCTCTAACAACGTCGATCCGGTTTTCTTCGTAGATTGTGGCGCCAAGCCTCACTGCCACACTTCAGTCCGGTCTGTTCTGGGGGAGGACCTCTCAGGTCACCGGGTTTATCTGCGGTCGTTTCAGAGAGTTCTTCAGAGTGTTTCTGTAGCGTCGTTTTTGTCCTCCCGCCTGATGAGCAGCCGTAGCGATATCTCCGTAGAAGAGTCGTTTATGTCCATCGTCTTGACAGAGTGTACGAAGGCGATGCCGGCAGATGAGGCGGTGGCGTCTGGTGTATGTTGGCACTCCAAGCACTGGTTCGCCGGT